AAACTAAAAACAACCACATATGGTCTCCGCGTCTATTTCAACGTTTATTTTTTTTTTTGCAAGCGGGAAACGGGGGGGGGGAGGGGGGGTGGCAACTACTAGTCTCTCACATCCCTTGATTTTGCTCCTCTCTGCCCTCATTCGCTTTGAGGGGACGAGTAAAGAACCATCACAACAATCCTGATGCCTATGCCCAAGTCCCCGGCTCACTCATTAAGGCTGTTGACATTATGAGCGCCCACCTGACGCCCTTAGCTGTTCGCTCCCTCCACTGCCTTCCTGTACGAAGCCTGTGACAGCATCTCTGCTGCAACCGAGGCGCTCCTTCCTCTGCTTCCTTGATTGGATGTGCCTGGTCCCTCTGGCTTCCCAGCCACCCTCAAGCGGAACATCGGTTCCAGATTTCCTAAACCAGCTCCCACCGCAAGGGCCAGCAGCCTCCTACCCTACTCTTACAAGCCCAGCCCAGGAGGAATTCTAGCTCCTCCTTCTTTCTCGCCCAGGAAGAGAGATCAGACAAGCAGAGATCACCCAGCACCCGGCATTGCCCAGAGCACATACAGGTGCTCCTAAGTGTTCGGGGGGAATGAATGGAGGAGTGAACGAACGAATGCATTTGAAGGGAGTTGTTCGTGGATGCTACTTCCTTCCCGGCCGTTTGGAGGTGGGGGGAGCACTTTGCACTGAGTGTGCGGTCGTGCTTGGCAGAGGATGTGGCTGACGGGCCACATACACACGTATGTGACGTCTGGCCAATCCCGCTTTCAAGCTCGCTGACCGTAACGCCTCCTTTGAGGGTAAAGCGGATGTACTCTGGACCCCAAGTCCAGAAGCCTGCGTCCCAGTCGTAGCCCTCTTGCTTACTTGCTGTGCGGCTCCAGGCAAGTCACAACCCCTTCTCTGGGTATCGGTGCAAAATGCAAGGTCGTCGATCCCTCTCTGAGGCTGTGTGACTCGAATGGCTCGGAATGTGCGATATTCTTTCATTATCCCACACCTGCTCTTTGGTTTCATTGGCTTCCCCGTTGAACTTGCAGAGAAGCTGCCTGACACCCAAGCACATAACCACCTTGGAAGAAGCCCTTCACCTCCGGAACGCCTCTGGGAGAAGGCAGCCAGAGCAAGAGAGAAAAGGTCCCAGAGAGGAATCTGCAAGCCCCGAGCCCCTTCTAGGCCACAGCTGCCCAGAGCAAACTGTGGGAAGCTAGTTGCTGGAACGCCAGCCCCCTTCCCACTGACACACAGGCATACGAAGCGACTCCCAAAATAGATTCGGCCTGCGTGAGAGGGAAGCAACATGTATTCAAGCCTGTTTTCTGCACCATACAAGTCACCGCTGACAGCAGGTGACAATAAACACTCAAAAACAGGATGAAAAGGGGCGCCTGGGTGGTTCAGTCAGTTAGGCGTCCGACTTCAGCTCAGGTCATGATCTCACGGTTCATGAGTTCGAGCCCCATGTCGGGCTCTGTGCTGACAGCCCAAAGCCTGGAGCCTGTTTCGGATTCTGTGTCTCCCTCTCTCTCTGCCCCTCCCCCACTCACATTGTCTCTGTCTCTCAAAAATAAATAACTGTGTTGGGATGAGCACTGGGTGTTGTATGGAGACCAATTTGACAATAGATTTCATATGAAAAAAATAAAAAAATTAAAATTAAAACAATTAAAAAAAAAAGAATGAATGAATGTTGCCTGCATGTTTAATTCTCAAAGCAAAGTACATGAGGCATCCTTTGCCACCTCTCAACGGTGAAGAGACCGAGGCTCAGAGCAGGTGGTGATGTGTCCAGGGTCAGGCAGTTAGTAAATGACAGACGGGACTGGGCTGCATCCTAATGCCACCAGGCTGCTATTGAGATTAGGTGACAGCTAGGAGTCTAAGCAGTCAAGCTGGCAGGTTCGTTTCCCGTGACGCCGTTCAGTTCTCGGTCCTTGTGCCATAACAACCCCGAGGAAGAGAAATCCTGTCCGTGTCCCCCTCTCCTCCCTCCCTCAACGGACATTTGGTCCTCTCTCTGAACTCTCTGAATGTGGAAGATTTAAAAGCTGGCTTTGTACACTGTGCCCTGGATGCCGTTATCCCTATGTTTATTTTTAGAAGAAAGATAATACGCTTTGCCACCTCACAGGGAAGCCGAGAGATAATGTCAGTAAACAAGCCTTCACCTCTTCGCAAATTATCGACACCGTTAAGACAGATCTATTTTCTCGGAATCGTCGGAAAGGAGGCAAATCCTGGCCAGCTTATCCACCCGCCTGCAGCGGAAAGCTTCCTGCCTCGGTCCTCCACCTGTTCCCTTTTTACCAAGTCACCCTTCCCTGGTGACATCGGCAGATTACTGTGACCCACAGGCCACGGCTAGGATGCCCGGATGTCCCCCCCCCCCCGACAACCCCAAACTCGTCACGTCTGAGACACTGCCATTTGCCCCATCCTACAACACTTCTGGTTCTCTCTGCCTGCTTCTTGGACCCTCACCCTCTCAGGTTATTCTCGGGCTCGAGACCTGACTCATCTTTGACGAGGTGCTATCGGAGAGCAGTAGAGAACGTGGACTCCGACGTCAGGAACACTCGAACTCCTTTCCCAGACCCAGGACTCGCCCGCACTGGGATGGCAGGTCAGCCACCATGCATACTGTCCTCATCCGTGGTATTTACATCAGGGGTGTGAAGGATATTCATGATACCAAATTTCGAATAGTATTAGAGGATATGAAAGGAAACTCTTTCAGACTCAGACTGTGGCGGTGGAGGGAAGTGGCAAGTTGGCCAACATTCCGGAAGAAGAACCAGCCGCAGTCCCATGATTTGCCAAGCCTGTTCTGTAACACACAGTTCCTCACCTTTCTCCTGCCCCTATACAAAAGAGAGAGAGGGGGGGGATTTCTCTGAAGAGCGTTGTAAACTGAGTGGGTCGGGATTTCCGTGTCATTGGCTTTTCCTCTCACCGTAGAACCAAGCCAGAGAGACTTCCAGAAACATTTGGAGAAGGAGGAATTTTCGTCAGAAGGGGGAAAACTAACACCTCGCCCTTCTCTTCATGGGACCTCAATCTGGGGGAATAGTTCCAAGGGAACCTGTGTCTCCTGGATTCAGGATGTGTTTCTTGTATCTAATGTTGTAAAGGGTTTAAAAAAAAAAAAAAGAGCTAGGCTGGAACCAGGTTTCCAAGGATGGAGAGTGTCCTAGGTGGACTGAGCTGCTGTGACAATAATCCTGTAAACCGGGTAGCTTAAACAACAGAAATGTATTCCTCGAGTTCTGAAAGCTGGGAAACCCAGGATCAGGGTGCTGGTTGACTTGGTTCATCACGAGCCCCTCTCCGTGGTATGAGGAAGGATCCCCTCTTGCTATATATCCAAGGGAAGGAGAGGGACTCTCTGTCTCTTCTTCTAGGGGCACGAATCCCACTCAGGAGGGCCTCACCCTCATGCCCCAATTACCTTCCGAAGGTCCCACCTCCTAGTCCCCTCACGCTGGGGATTAGGGCTTCAACATGTGAACTTCGAGAGAACACAAGTATTCAGCCCATAGCAGAGAGGGAAGAGGGCCTGGATCCAGGGACACAGCAGACATCAAAGAGAACAGCCAGGCTTGCTTGTCCTGGGACACAAAGGGTCATGTGAGCTGTGCCAGCAGGACAGGAGCTGGCTGGAGAATGCGTCACCGACCTCAGAAAATCATGCAGTATTGGGGGCCCCCCACAGAAGGTGGTTGGGGGGGACGGGTATATCCCAGGAGGGTGGAAGGCTCTGGAAAACCCACCACGCTGCCCCACAAGGGAAAGAGCCAAAGCTGACAAAGACCTGACAACGTTGATTGGTCCACTGGAGAAGAACCACAAACAGCATCGCTTTTGCCGTTTCACCACGTACCCCTCCTGATATCCTCAAGAAGGGATGAAGTAAGGAAGAGAGAAAGAGGAGGGGGGAGGGGATAGACCACCAGCTTCTTCTTTCCTGTTGGATGTCTTGCCTGGGACCAGTCTGACTTAGAGGGAAGGTATAAACTGGATGTCAGAGAAAAGGTCTGATTTATATTGTGTTTAATACCTAAAAATCAAGTTGTTCTAATGAAGAGAAAAAGAGAGACAGGAAAGAGACAGCAAAGGTGGGGGAGCCGCCGGAGACGATCATGGCGGGTGTGGGGCCGGGGGGTGTGGCCAATCCAGCAGATAGAGATCGAAGACAGAAACCGAAAAATGAAGCAATTTCCTGACTGATCCAAATCTGTCAACACTTGTGTTAATGTGAAGTGTACCTGGCAAATAGGATGCACTTAAAGAATGCTCACCATCATTAGTGAGATCTAAGACATCTGGGTCAATTATTAGCCCAGTCTGGCTGGTGTAGCCAGTCGCCATTGAGAACACTCCAGTCAGAGCTACCTGTGTACTTATCAACCCAAAAGCCACAGTAGCTGTTCCACTGGCCTCCCAACCCCCAATTCTCTCCCCCCTGCAGTTCTCTCTCCCATTGCCTAAAAGCCCAACTTCCTTCGCTTGGCATGAAAGTCCCCAACAACTGAGTCAACCCTCCTTTCCGACTTCCTTCCTTATCAGTCAGTCTGCTCTTCCTTTCAGAATAGAATGATTTGCTGTTCCCTCAAGCACCTCCTGGCACTCGTGCCTCCCCCTGTTTGTGATGTGCTCCTTTTCTCTCTAGCTTCCTGATAAAACCCCATCATTCTTCATGTCGGCTCACACATTATCTGCTCTGAAAAACCTCCAAAATCTTCCAGTGGAAAGGATTTCTCCCTCCTCTGAGCTCCCATAACACTGCCTTTGTATACCTTTAGTTGTCCAACAAAACCTCATTCTCCCACCTGCTCCTCATATACAGGCAGCGATGGTATAATGTCCAGGGGGGGGGAAAAGCCCAGTTCTAAGGAATAAATCATGGTTGAGCTATGCTAAACACGGCAAACTCCTTCTCTTTTGTTGGTTATTGGTTTAGGGCTAACTGCTGTCATGTTTAACAAGGTGCCCTCCAGGTAAAACACACACACACAAGTGCGCACACACGCACACACACACAAGCGCCTTAATTTGTAGCAAGTTTGCTGATTCCATGGTGCCATTTATCCCACCATGGCCAATATCAGGTTACCAGCGAGACATTATCGAACGTGGGACTTAGAGAAGATGTGCAGTAGCTCGCCATTTTATAGTATCTCCACCGGGCCAACACAATAACATCAAAAGTGTAGATAATAGCTAAGTGTAGTAAAATAATTAGGAAGTGATGCATTTTGGTATTTATTACCAAGTTTCCTGGAAATTTAACAATTGCCTCTTGCAGGCCAATAAAAGCCGATTTGAACACATCACAGGTTCTAGCCAATCATTGTATACATAATGTTTGTGTCCTCTCAAAATTCATATGTTGAAATCTAAGCCCCAGTGTGATGGTGTTTGGAAGTGGGGTCTCTGGGAGGTGATCGGGTCATGAGGGCAGAGTCCTGATGAGTGGGATTGGCACCCTTACAGAAGAGACCCTAGAGAGCTCCTGTGTCTTTTTCACCATGTGAGGACACTCGGCTATTTACGAACCAGGAAGTGGTTCTGAATCTGCTGATTCACCTTAATCTTGGACTTCTCAGTCTCCAGAACCGTGAGAAATTAACGTTTGTTTTTTAAGTTGCCCAGGCTATGGTATTTTTGTCATAGCAGCTACATAGACTGAGACACCAAGGAAATGTAAGGGGAAATAGGCTTGGGGTTTCTGGACTTCTTGGGTCGGTTTTTACTGCATTATGCTTCAACAACAAACAGCCCCCAAATCTAGCACAGAGCATCATACCTGAAGGTCTTCAAAACGTGTTTGATGAATGAATCCCTTATCTATAAAATATTTAGACTAAATTACTAAATTACTAATTAAAATTTCTAAATTTTAACCCAGAGAAACCTCTTGCTTTTTCCCCAAGCAATTCTGTTGGGAGGCCCAAATAGGAAAAGGATGATGGTATACTGTTCCAGGTGAAGGAATGGGACTTTGAGACACTTCCCTGAAATCTTAGTGGAACGCCTTGGGTTCCACGGAACCTGGTTTGAAAACCACTAATTTGGCTCCATTCTGGGACTAACAATCTATTATCCCAGGACCTGCACTGTATCAGCCTGTCTTCCCTCAGGACTAGCCAGTGACTTGAATAAAGCTTGGCCTCACAAGTTCAGGGCCTTCACTCCCAGACTTGCTGCACCCTTGGCTTTGCCAAATGAGCAGACCGCTTTCCGTGAGGCTCTCAATTACAAGCGCCTTCACGCAATCTTCCGGCGCATCAGACCCATGCCACCAGACCGTCCCTGGGTGGTTTCCTGCCAGAGGTGCATTCATTGCTCCAGGGTGTCTGACCGGGGCCTGGGGGTTTTGTCTCTCCTACATCAGAACAACGCCCTGCCCCATTTAAGAGCCAGCTTTCCCAGGCCGGCCTGTCCGGGCAGCCATCACACCGCTCCTCAAGCCAGCTGGGATGGCTGGAGATTTCCAGTCTTCCCAGCTGAAAAATAAAGGCCCCAACCCGGTTCTACCCCTGCATTTAGAGGACTGTGATTTCATAGTCTCCGAATCTCCCGCGGGAGGATGAACCCTCTTGACCCAGAACTGTGGGAAAATGAATCTCTGCTGTCTAAGGCAGCCAGTCTATATTTTGTCATGGCGGTCCTAGCTGACTAACACATCTCCCTCCCTGAAGGGCACAGAGCCCAGCTCCTGCCCACAGCCCAGAACCAGCCCTAGCTGGTCAGAGAAGATGGAACCTCAGAAATGGTCTTCCATGGGCACCAGCCAGAGCCCCTGAGAGCTTGGGCTAAGTCCTTGCACCTGCTCCCAGACCTCTTCCCACCCCTCAACTGCTCTGTCTTTCCCCCTTGGGCTCTCATTTCATCCCTCAAGCACAGAAGCAGCAGCTGTGATCAGAAAACAGCTGGTCGGGGGATAAATGAATGAGATGGGCAAATGATGGATTTCGAGCCCAGCCGAAAAATGCCCTGGGCTGGGGCCAACGGACCCCAAGACCTAATTCAGCAGGTGTTTTCCTGGGCGCCTTCCGGTTAAGGCTGCCAGATAAAATTCAAGAGGCCACTAACGTTTGAACTTCAGATGCACAATGAATAATGTTTCGGTAGAAGAGTGTCCCGTGCTGCGTGGTATTTTTGTTTGCTACAGCTAGCAACCGCATCCAGGGAACGCCGTGGGGTAGGTCAGGAGATTAGGAGAGGAGAAATCAAACAGGATGGGGCACTGCACACCCAGAGACGATGGAAGACACGGGCGCATAATAGGCGCTGAGCCAATTTGGGAAGAAGGAAAGGAGTGCCTCTGGGTGATGTGTCTCTGGCTGGTCCCAGTCCTGCAGCCCTGATTTGGAGTCAAGTCCAAGAATCCCTGCTGTATTGGCTTCCTGCTGCTGCTGTAACAAATTACCAAAGGCTTAATGGCTTGAAGCCACACTATGAGACACTTACTATCTTCTAGTTCTTGAGCTCGGAGTCCCAGATGGGTCTCAATGGGCTAAGATCAAGGTGTCCGTGGGACTGTTCCTTTTGGAGATTCTAGAGGAGAACTCATTTCTCGCCTTTTCTGTTTTCTTGAGGCCATCTGCCTTCCTTGGCTCGTGGCCTCTTCATTTGCAAGACCAGCAGCTTTAGCTTCATGAAACCCCGCCCCCC